TTACTGAGAACCACTAAACTATACACTTCAAATGGATGAGCTGTATGGCATGTGAATTATATCATCATAAAGTTGTTAATAAAAACAAAGAAGTCGTGGTGTCTTGTCTCTTAGAAGGAGGACATATCTGGGAAATGGTAGAATGATTAATTGCTCTATTTTCTTTAGTATTCCATTTGCCAAGAACTTTATAATTTTTTTGTTTTTATCACTACATAAATAAACTGAGAAAAGACATGTATTTTTAATCCATTCCCTATTTTAATACATTTTTTAATACATTCCCTATTATGGCAATGAGGAATAAATAAAAGTCAGTCAACTTGCCTAAGGTCTTGTAACTGGGACTGGAACTAACCCTGCCTCCAAGCCAAGTTCCCCTCCTCCCACCCTACTTTCCCCTCTTTTGTCTCACAATGACAGGGATGCATTATCTAGGGATCCAGTAACTAACTGATCTGTGATTACCACTCATGATCCGGCTTTATTTTCAGGAATGAACTGCACTTCCCATCAAGGTGATTTTTTCCCCATTGTTTTTCCTAGATGTAACTAACATAGAGAAACCCAGAGTCTGAGGGATAAGAAATATGTAAATCAGTTCCTAAGTAACAGCATAACTTCGCTTAATCCACCCTGGAGAGAAAGCCTCCTTGGAGATAAAGAGAGGAAAATGTGGCAGGGTAAACAAGCACTCCTCAAGAAAACGACACCTGAAGAACCACAGGTGGTTGGGCTTTGCCCATAAACTGTTTGGCTTTTATTATGGGACCAGCTTTCCAGTTTTATTTCACTGACAGGGAATCTCCAGAAGCCAGTGCTGCTGGAGCAGGCTATGAGAAGTGAGGTTTGCAGGAAGAAAGGGGGGCAGAGATGAGGCAGATTTTACAGGTGGGGGAACAGCAGAGATGGTTAAAAGCAAATTCAAAAAGTTAAACTTGTAAACACTTTCCTCCATCTCTCCACAAAACTCTACTATTTATCAAATACTCATCAGAACTTTGAGGGGTGTGTGTGTGTGTGTGTGTGTGTGTGTGTCTGTGTGAGACACACATGGTACATGGATGCTGACATTTATATGAAGGTGAGCAGGCATAAAAATAGCAACAGGTGTCAATTAAAGATAAATAAACAAAGGGAAAAAAAGAACAGCATTAGGGAAGCAAGGTGGCCTGGTTAGCAGCAGATTACATAAATGCATATGATCTTCTTGAGGTGTAATTTTAAAGTTCAGAGAAAAATACTCATGGGCTATAGGGACATGGAAATGTATTGGCCTGATGTGCAACCTTACTTTTCTCCTCTCTTGTACTGCCCTTACTGGAGACTATGACCATCAACTTGGTGGCACTGCACCAATACCCCTTAATCACTGACAAATTTAAACTTAGTAATTCCCACCTCTTATTTTATGATAACAAGAAATACAGCATTTTCGCCTTACGTGAAAATGTTACAAGTAAAGAAACCAAAAGCAAGAGATTTTTTTTTTTTTTGAGACACAGTCTCACCTGTTGCCCAGGCTCGAGTGCAATAGTGTGATCACTGCAACCTTGACTTCCCCAGGGTCAGGTGATCTCCCGCCTCAGCCTCCCAAGTAGCTGGGACTACAGGTAGGTGTCACCATGCCCAGCTAATTTTTTGTATGTTTTGGAGAGACAGGGTTTCTTCATGTTGCCCAGGCTGTTCTAAAACTTCTGAGCTCAAGTGATCCACCTACCTGGGCCTCCTGGCTAATTGTTTAAATTTTCTGTAGAGAAGAGGTCTCCCCACATTGCCCAGTCTGGTCTCAAACTCCTGGGCTCAAGCAATCTTCCCACTTCAGCCTCCCAAAGTGCTGGGATTACAGACATGAGCTGCCATGCTAGCAAGCAATTTAATTTATTTACCTCTGAAGTCTGAAATGAATTCTTTCTGCAAACTAAAGTATAAGTTTCCAGCTTAAAGGATGGACATGAAAGGAAATACTGGCTGGATACACTAGAGATGACTCAAATGAGCTCTAAGGAGGTCTTATAGTTATTACTGTTATATCTAAAGGACTATTAACTACGAATAACTAAAAGTTTTCCATTTTAAAAAGAGAGGGAGGAAGAAAAGGAGGAAAGGGAAAAGAAGTAGTAGAATGGGGGAGGGGAGAGAGAGAAAGAAAAGGAGGAAGGGAGAGAGAGAAAGAAAAGGAGGAAGGGAGAGAGAGAAAGGAAGGAAAGAAAGGAGGCCAACATCAGGATCCCAGTTTCTGGAGATAATTCCATGTTTTTCAGGGAAAAGCTTTTCTCTTTATAGCTTCTGATCAATGTCAGAGGCAAGCTTCCTATTTATATATATGAAAGTAGATCTCCACTTGACAATGAGTCTTTTCACTCTTTCATCAGCCCATCTTATGCTATTGCAAGATTTGCTATTTTAATGCAGAACAATGACACCTCAAGTGTACAGGAGTTATCACCCCAAATGATGCTTTTTTAAAAAGTCAAGGTGACAATGTCAATGAAAAAGGGCCCAGGTCACAATGTGAATGAAAAAGGCTAGGACTGGGTAATCATACCAGGAACATTCTTCTCCACAGGGAAGGGCCACAAATCTACCTGCACCAGGCGTGGGAGTCAATGTGGAGGGCAAGGATCTGAAGGAGACACAGAGAGTCTATAGATATAGGAGAATGAGTAGAAAGGAGGCATTGAGGAATAAATGATTAGGGAGAAAAGAAAGAAGGAAGAAGGGAGTAAAGAAGATGAAGCAAGAAAGATGTCTATATTCACAAAGGTTAAGTGTGACTAATGGTTTAATCTGAGAAACTAAGAAGTTGGGAGTAATTTCAGACCAAGTTCATTCATTATTAAGTACATCAATTTCTTATGGACTTGTCTTCCCTTCTTTAATCAAAGTATAAAGGGAACTTTCTATCTCCTGGCAAAATCTTGACCCTAAAGGGCTCAGAGAACTTAGGAGAATTTAAGAAAAAGTTTTCATTTACAGGAAGAGGGGGAACACAGCAGGACATCCATAGATAAGAACAACCAAGTTCACCACAATTAGACTTCATTAAACTTCTTCTACAAAGAATATTGTTCATGTAGCTAATATTAAATGACTTTAAAGATGAAGGATTTTGTTTTGCTTTTTAAAGACAGGGTCTCACCATGTTGCCCAGACTGCTCCTAGGCTCAAGGATCCCTTGCCTCAGCCTCCTGCGTAGCTGGGACAACAGGAGCAGACCACCACGCTGGGTTAATGTGAAGTATATTACATTTTAAATATAGTGGAAAATTATATAGGCAATAAAAGGCAAGATAAAATTTTTCTTAAATGGTAAAAGTGCATTCCAATGTAACATATTAAATTGGAATTTATAATGGTTTCAGAAACTTTTATTATTTATTCCTTATTGAAATAGATGAACCATATATTTACTTGGTGATTGTACTTATTTTTACCATAATATATGGCCAATTTGACAGCCAAATCAATAGCATGAGGCTAGGTATTAGTGTAATTAGTATCCAGTAATACAAAGAATAATAAGCAGAATGTTCTACCTATTGTCAGATAAAATAAACTTTTTACAGTTGCATCTTTGCCCATCTTTAAAGGGCAAAAGATTAAATCCAATTAAGAATTTGGGGTAATTCTGTGAAATTAAAAATATGTTTTATGTTTTCTTCTATGAAAGAAGCTAAAAATAATGTGTAAATACAGGTCAAGAGAAGGAACAACTATAATTACAATAACAAATATTAAAAGCAATAAATTTATATGAAATAAGTATGGAACCCATTTTGAGAAAGAAAATATAAAAATCAGGCAAGGTTGATATTCCTGCTACTGGTATAATCGCAATTTCTTGAAATGTCCTAATTCAGGTATGGCTTTCATTTTAGAACACATTTTAATGCCATGTAACAGTTCCTGAGTTCACAACTCTCCAAGATTGACAAGAAATAGTTCATTTTCTATACTGTGCTTCATTAAAATATAGAAAACCAAGATATCAGGAATGGAAGCATTTTGCACAAGGACAAAAGCCTGACAGAAAGAAGTTCAGATGGCCTCGGCTCTTCTTTATTATCAGAATTCTTTCGAGGGTGTCATAATTAGAGTTCAGCCAAAACTAAGCCTACTGAAAATGCCTTTCAGCATTTTGTACTTTTGTGACCATGTGTATGAAAATATATGTGAACATCAGCTGAATGTTGGAGCTAGTTTGGCCAAGCTGCGAGCAGTGAGATTTTGTTTCAAAATATTTGCATCTCCTCTACGAAGTGAAATCTTCTAATATTACCTTGACAGCCCCTTAGCAGACTAGGTTTAATAGAATCTGAGAAATGCCAGCAGAGATCAGTTTCAGTTAATCCCTCAATTTGTTGCACTTAGAGGAAAGAAGGCATCTTCGCTTCTCTAAAGCAGTATAATATGTTTTCATTCACTATTACTGCAACAGCTTTCACATCATCACAAACACACACAATCTCAAATGAACACTCACCACAAACACACACGGGGAAGCAGGTGAAGTGATAGGCAATAGTTTACATTTGCCCGTTTGCTTCCACTCTTCAACTAGTCAAACATTTCTGGCAAGTTTGCTGTACTTAGGAGGAGATCATCCAGCTTCCAAACAAAGTTGTCTTTCACCTTATCTGGACGGAGTTGGGGCTCAGGTCTGTGATAGGGTTTGCAGCTAGTCACAAATTAATATTATTTTCTGACATTTGAGTCCATTTTCCCATCCCAATGGAGCATGCCCCCCACTTTATGGTAATTCGCCAGAATTTCTCCATTTAAAATGCACATAAGACAGGTGGCTTCATCCTCTGATGATCTCAGAGAAATTAATTAAGTTGGCTGGAGGAAAGCCACTGGAGACAGTCGTTCCTGTAAGCATGTTTAATCAGATCCCGCCGCCTCTGAGTGAAGAGCGGCAACCTCTTCAATATTCAAGGGGTCTCATCTCTCCTGCCAAGCCCTGCCAGCCCACGCAGGGCGGCAGATAAACTCACCTGCCATTCTTGGTCACAATCATCTCATTAGTGACTTCCTTGAATCTCTGCCAGAGAGGTGCATCCTCCAGGATGATCTGAAGTTGCTTCTCCGTAGGGTCGCCTTTTTCCCTCCCTGCCTGAAGCTCGCTCTCCACCACATTGAGCAGATGAGAAACAGTGCCATCGCTGGGCTTCCGAGTGCCCAGCTCACTCATGGCCATAGGCACTTCTCGAACTTTGCCGAGAGCCGTTACCTACCTTGCCTGCTTCTAGTTTCTTCCTTCCCTCACTTGCCTGCTTTTCAAACCCACTTGAACAGGGCTTGGAGGAGTGCAGAGAAGACACCCTGGCTCTTGCCTAAGCTCCTAGGATGGCACCCCTTAAAAGTCTCCACATTATACCACCAACCTGTTAAGCTTTAGTTGGGGAGCGGGGTGGAGGGAGGGGAGAGGTAGGGAAGAAAAAGCCCTCTCTTAATTACTCATTGGATCAGGTGGGAGAGAGCCTGGCTTTCCCATTGGCTGCCGTGCACAGAGTAGACATTTAAGAAGAGTACTCCATCCAAATTATCAGGCTTTTATCTTGTTGTACCTGAAGAGGTCTAATCGGTGTATTGAGGACCATTTTCCCATTAATTAAAATTATTCCAGGCCCAGACTGCACTGTCAGGCAAATCATGTTTGTGCATAAATCATGACATGTGGCACCTATAAAGAAAAGGGTCCTGGGGAGAATCGACAAACTTGATGCCAACCCAGGCTATAAGCTACTCTCCAGCATCTTAGACGAAGGCTCTGGAGAGAAGCATATATGGAAGGTCCAAGGCACTGTGCCAAGAAACATGACTATTGCACCAGAGAATAAAGGAAGACACTCTGTGTGGCACTGCTCAAGGGTCAGGGCTGGGGAGAAAAGAAAAGAGCTCAGGACCTCTTTCTCCCAGGGTGTCCCCTACTCATCATCTCTCTCCTGAATGTCCCAGACTTGCTCACACCCCACTCATCTCAAGGGCCCTGCTCACCTCCTACAAATGGAGCTTTGAATGCTGTCCCTCCTCCCTAGAGTCTAGAACCCCAGTTTTTTGTTTCTCTCTAGCCTTTGCCAGAGGGAGAGAAAAAAAGCAGCTAGTATCATATTAATCTCTCTAAGGAACACTCTGCCCCCAGTCAGTGAAAATAAGCTTTTTACATTATTATGCAGAACAATTTCTATCTTTGGTCCAAAAAGGCATTATTGTTTTCTCTTTTGACAATTTATCCTTATTTTGGCATTCCAGGATGAATCCCATATTCCCTGGGAAGAAACAGTAGTAGAAAGCTTTTCTTTTGCCCTCAACACACAGTACTAATGGCGAGTGAGTGGGCAGTGGGTGGAAGGGACAAGAGCAGAGGAAGCTCTACCTCCTCTAGTCCCCAGCCTCGAGGAGAGCCTGGGGATTGCGAGTTTTTCTCATTTCAATACAAAGTAAGAAAACAAGAACAAAAGGAAAACGAACCCAAAAAGGTAAGATAAAGTCAGGGTAAGGATGACAGAAAATGTATTCAGGGCCTCCTAGTGCTACATACCTATGAAGCATCACATACAGCAAGGAACAAACAGAAACGGCCTGCGCCTTTACAGAATTAACCATCTGATGGAGAAAATAAATGATATAAAGTAAACAACAACTAAGTAATTATCAGTAGTGACAAGTCTATGAAGACTACATAAAAGGGTGAAGTGGTCGAGAAAAATTTGTGCCCAGCAGGGTAGGGAACTCCAGTTAGGTGGAGTTGTGTAGAACAGCTTCTCTGAGGAGAAGACATTTCAGATGAGACCAAAAGCTCAGCAAGGATGTAGTTGGGGAAGAGTTGGCAGAGTGCCAAGCTGAAGAATTGCATGTGAGAAGCATGGCTTGAGCCAGGTAGAAGTCTCCAGGGAGGCCAGTGTGACCAGAATGTGGTGGTAAAGAGAGTAGAATGAGATGTTCTTTAAGAGAGGGCCAGGTCAGATCACGGGGCCTTAGAAGTCATGATGAAGATTTTGGATTCTCTTCAACATGAGATAGGAAACAATTGGAGAGTATTAAGTAGGAAAACAGCATGATTTGCTTTGTGTTTGCAAAAAATCTAATTGATTCATGGAGAATAGACTAGGAAAGGGCAAGAGCTGAAGTAAAGGAAAAATTAGAGGCTATGATAGCAGTTCAGGCAAGAGCTGGTGATGGCTTAGCCTAGGGTAGTGGCAGTAGCCAAAAAATGAAGTGTATAGGTTCTAGATACACCTTAGAAGTCGATATGACAGAACAACACGAGGGACTGGATGTAGGGGTGAGGGAGAGCAGAGAACCGAATGTCTGATGGGAACAATTATTAGGTGGCAGGGCCATTTACTGAGATACGGAAGGTGAGGGAGGTGGAAGGGTAGGCAGAGGTACAATTTGGTTAGGAGACTCAAAAATTTCCATTTCATACAGTTGACATTGAAAATAATGTGGTAGGCTGAATAAGGACCCCCAGTAAAAGAGGCCCATTTCCGAATCCCCAGAACCCGTGAGTGTATTACCTCACATGGGAAAAATAGACTTTTCAGATGTGATTCAGTTAAGGATCTTGAGATGGGGAGATTATCCTGGGTTATCTGGTGAGCCCAGTGCAATCACAAAAATAAGAGGGAGGCAGGAGGATCAAAGTCAGAGCAAGAAGATGTAAGGACAGATGCAGAAGTCAGAGGGGAGAGAAGATGCTACACTCCTGGCTTTGAAGATGGAAGAAGGGGCCAGAAGACATGGAATGTAAGAAGTCTCTAGAAGCTGGAAAAGATAAGGAAATAGATTATCCTCTAGAGCCTCCAGAAGGAACATAGTCCTGCCAACACCTTGGTTTTAGCCCAGTGAAACTAACTTTGGGTTTCTGATTCCCCAAACTGTAAGATAATAGGTTTACATTGTTTTAAGCCACTAAGTTTGTGGTAATTTGGTACAGCAGCAATAGGAAACTAATGCAAAGACTATTAGGTATATAAGTGGAGATTTTGAGAAGGCACTGCTTAGAACTGTGATACAATTGTGGCTCTGAGCTTCCAAGCAGCCAATGCAAAGGCGGGGAATATAATCTGGCATACATTAAACTGTGTCCCTAAAATAAAAGCAAGCCTTGACCTGTGAGAAATTTCCCCCGTAGGTCTTTATAAGGAAAACACTGTGAGATACAGTGAACAATGTCTCCCCAGTCTACCAGTAAGATAAAAATCCTTCCTTCAAATAGTTTTACAATCTGGAAGGGACAGAAAGACATGCTTGAGGAATTCCAATACAGAAATGTGAAGTGTTCTGAAGCACCAGTAGGGGAGAAATGAAGAAAAAACAGAACTAAGACTGGAATATGACAAGGATGACCACTTACACTACTGTTATTCAATATAATACTAGAAGTTCTAGCTGCAGCAATCAGACAAGAGAAAGAAGTAAAAGACATCCAAATTGGAAAGGAGGAGGTAAAATTATCCTTGTTTGTAGATGATCTGATCTTATATTTGGAAAAAACTAAAGACTCTACCAAAAAACTATTAGAATTTGTAAACAAATTCAATAAGGTTGCAGGATACAAAATGAACATACAAAAATCAATATAGCACTTCTATAGGCCAACAGTGAACAATCTGAAGAAGATATAAAAAAAGTAATCCCATTGACAATAGCTGCAAATAAAATAAAATATCTAGGAATAAACTTAACCAAAGAGGTGAAAGATCCTGAAAACTATAAAACATTGATGTAAGATATAGAAAAATACATTAAAAAGTGGGAAGAGAGTCCATGTTCATGGATTGGAAGAATCAATATTGTTAAAATGTCCATACCGCCCAAAGCAATCTACAGATTCAATGTAAGCCCAATCAAAATATCAATGACATTCTTCACAGAAATAGAAAAAAATCCTAAAAATTTATATGGAACCACAAAAGATGCAGAATAGCCAACGCCATCCTGAGCAGAAAGAAAAAAACTAAAGGAATCATATTACCTGACTTCAAATTATACTAAAGTGATATAGTAACCAAAACAGCATGGCACTGGCATAAAAACAGACACATAGACCAATGGAACAGAATAGAGAACCCAGAAATAAATCCTACAGTTAATTCATTTTCAACAGAGATGCCAAGAACGTACATTGGAGAAAGGACAGTCTCTTCAATAGATGGTGCTGACACAAACTAGAAAACCTAAAAGAAATGAATGAATTCCTGAAAACATACAACCTACCAAGATTGAACCAGGAAGAAATTGAAAGCCTGAATAGATCAATAACAGGTTTCAAAGTTGAATTAATAAAAAAATTTGTCAACCAGAAAAAGCCCTGGGCCACATGGATTTACAGCTGATTTCTACCAGACATATAAAGAGCTGGTACCAATCCTACTGAAACTATTTCAAAAAATAGAGGAGGAGGAACTCCTCCCTAACTCATTCTATGAGGCCAGCATCATTCTAATACCAAAACTCGGCAGAAAAAAGAATCTTCAGGCCAATATCCCTGATAAACATACATGCAAAAATCCTTAACAAAATACTAGCAAACCAAATCCAATTCACCACAATCAAGAAAGCTTTATTCCTGGGATGCAAGGTTGGTTCAACATACATAAATCAATAAATGTGATTCATCAAATAAACAGAACTAAAAACAAAAACCGCATGATCATCTCAATAGATGCAGAAAAGCCTCTTGATTAAATTTGACCTCCCTTCATGTTAAAAATCCTCAACAAACTAGGCATCAAAAAGGAACACATCTCAAAATAACAGCCATCTATGACAAACCCACAGCCAACATCATACTGTTGGGCAAAAGCTGAAAGCATTTCCCTTGAGAACCAGAACAAGACAAGGATGCCCACTCTTACCACTCCTATTCAACAGAGTACTGGAAGTTCTATCTGGGGTAATCAGGTGAAAGAAAAATAAAAGGTATCCAAATAGGAAGAGAGGAAGTCAAACGATCCTTCTTTGCAGACGATATGATTCTATACCTACAAAATCCCACAGTCTCTGCCCAAAGGCTCCTAGATACGATAAACAAATTCAGCAAAGTTTCAGGACACAAAATCAATGTACAAAAGTCATTAGCATTTCTATACACCAGCAACATCCATGTTGACAGCCAAATTATGAATACTATTCACGATAGCCACAAAAAAAAAGACTAAAACACCTAGGAATATGGCTAACCAGGGATTTGAATAATCACAACAAGAATTACAAAACACTGCTTAAAAAAAAAAGATGATCCAAGCAAATGGAAAAACAGTATATGCTCACGAATAAGAATCAATATTGTTAAAATGGCCATACTGCCCAAAGCAATTTACAGATTCAATGCCATTCCTATAAAACTACCCTCATTTTTCACAGATTTTGAAAATATCATTTTAAAATTCATCTGGGACCAAAAAGGAGCCCAAATAGCCAAAGCAATCCTAAGCAAAAAGAACTAAGCTTTAGGCATCACACCACTTAACTTCAAACTATACTACAAGACTACAACAGTAACTACAACAGCATGGTATTGGTACAAAAGTCAACACAGAGATCACTGGTACAGGTTAAAGAACCCAAAAAAAGAAACCATATGCCTACAACTATCTGATCTTCAACATA